CCCACTTGTCTGTGAAGGACAGCATGAATATGGAGTTACTGCTATTTGCTTTTAATTAATCATAATGTAAATTATGGTCTTCAGAATGTCAGATCTGTCTCATTGACTGGACTGTCACTGTTGAACTGGCTTGATGGAGAGGGAGAGCAGGAGGAGAGCAGGCGTGCTGAATTGTATAGACCCAGCGCAGTGCAAGGGCTGTCAGTCCACATGGCTCACACTGCCAAGCAAGTGCTGTGAGCCAGCAGAGCTGGAGCTTCCAGTCCCACTGATTTCCCAAAATATTCAGGTTTTACCATTCTCCCTGGTGTGATTATGTTGGGAACTCTGCGCAGCGTGTCATAGTGCACACTGAGGGTCCCCTCTGCCCGGGGTACAGCTTTTGGTTCCATCACTGCTTCCCTATGGGAGCCGGGGTGGGGGGGACACTCTGCTTCCCAGTGCCTGCATCTGGGTTCAGCACCTACTGCTGCTGCTGGCTGCGAATAGGGTTTCTCATAGCATGTGGTATCTGCACGTACCCTGTATCCAGGGCTTCTGGAAAATAATGTTTTTTTTAACCCGGAAATTATTGTCTAAAACCAATTTCAAGTTGTGCTTCTGAAAGGAGCCTGAAAGGAGTCCCAACAGCATAGACATGTAGAAGACTTGAGACTTGTATAAAGAATATCTTGAATATATTTTCTGTTAATACCTTAGGTCCTAAACCTTGAAAGGAATCTTATAAAATGTCTTCCACAATCTATAGGAGACCTTGCCCAGCTCCAGATGCTCAGTGTGAAAGGTATGGCACATGTTTCTGGTCGGTGCTCTGGGCAAAGCGCCATTTATTATCTGGGTCATGTTGAGCGGCATTAGTAATTATTCCTTTCAACCAAGGCAAGCACCAAATGGTTTACACTATGAATGCTAAGGAAGAACACAAGAGAGACTTGATTTCAAATAGTTGGCAAGGCAGCAGAAATCATCTAAGCAGAAAATGGGTCAAACTTGTTCCGTATGGTGTTTTCATTCAGCCCGTTGCCTTTTCTTGAAGGAGAGGTTGTTGGGTCGTCGTGCCCGCGCTCAGCAGCTGAAAGCTTACTTGGGTGCCTGCACGCGGGCAGCGTTTCAGAGCCCCAGCTGCCTCAGTCCTGCAGCGAGGAGTGCTGAGTGGGCTGGAGACACGTCTTCCTCTGGGACCATGAGACCCACCTCAAGCTGGGAGCGCTGTGCGTGCCCTGCAAGAGGAGTCCCAGCCCTGGATAATGATTTAGACCAACCTAAGAAATCTGTCTATGCAGATTCAAGCGTAAGAAAATAATAGGTCTTTGGCAGAAGCAGTTCAGTAAAGCAAGCAGAGCGGGCAGCCCGGAGAAACTGAGTTACAGAGCAAGTCCCCCGACACCCGGAGCTCGGTCCTGGGAACAAGTGTAACCTCACCAGGTTTGCACAGCCCTGACACACAGGTCACAACCATAGCTCTTTTCACGACTCCTGGGAGTTTTCCAGATACACAGTGCCATAAAGCTGGGAGAAAAAGGAGACTGTTACAGGGAGCTGCTGCTGAAACAGAAGGAAATGGAGGGCGAGGAACTTGGAAGTACGGCTCAGTTCACTGCTGTATCTGTCTGCAGCACCTGGCCTCTGACCCCTAGATGCTCAGTCCCACACTCCCCCTTTCTCCCATCTCTGGTACTTACACCAGAGGGAAGAAGACTCCATGTTATGATATTCTCCCGATAAAGAGCACAGATCCAGCCTGCAGCAGTGACCTCAGCTGAGAAGGTCATTTCGACATGAGGAACCTCTGCTGGGGCTGGGTGCAAGTAGGTCTTGATCCCCATTTGCCTTGGTGGGCAATGGCAGCCTTTGGTGTCCTCCTGTGACCCATGACAGCCCCATCCCTGTAGTACAGAATAAAACATGAGTTGTACGTAGGATTATGGCTTGGTGTTCCAGCAGAGGAACTTGCTGGGTCCTGCTCTGAAAATGTTACATGGTACTAAATGGCTTTTCTCTCTCTCTAGGTAACAAGCTGAAGGAGCTGCCTGCTACCGTGAGCGGCTTGCGGAGTTTGCGCACTCTGGATATCAGTGAGAACGTGCTGCAAGAGCTGCCGCGGGTGCTGGCCCACATCCGCACGCTGGAGGTACGCACCCAGCCAGCCGTGTCTGTCTCTCCCCTTCTCAGGCTGTTTATTCTGCTGCAGGCTGCTTCTCTTCCTACTTGCTCAATACAATAAGAAATTTAGCATAGAAAGTGAATCTTTAGGCCTTGGGCAGGACCCACTGTGGGGGATTGTAACAAAGCTATACGCAGTTGATGGTGTCCCAAATAGCTTTTGCGTACCCTTCCTGCTTTGATCTTTTCTGGTCACTTTTTGCCATGGCTTAATCATGACAAAAGTAATCCACAGGGAGTGAGCACCCCGGCATTTTCTGCCAGGGCTGTCTCTCTGACAGCACGAACTGTGCCTGTGGGCTCAGGTTGAATCAGCTGCTTTCCACCAAAGGTGATTCGAAATGAGCAGATGGGATCTTTCCAATGAGGTTTTTTCCTCCGTTGCCGTGACAGATCTCTGACTCATTGTCAGCCTCCGTAGGTTTCTGGCTCCCTGGAGTGCACATTCAAATGGGACAAGCATCAAGGTTTTAAAGGATGTGTTACCTTCTGACTGCCAAACTTGTCAGTACTAAACTGTGCAAAATGTCAGGCAACAGGGCTGACTCAGCCACCAGCATGGAGGATGTGAATAAATCCTCTCCTGTCTTGAACACACAACATTAGGCTTCGCTTCTGGTGTAGGCAGTCTTTGAGATGAGAGATCTGTGCACCTTGCTCCCCTGTGCTTGATGAAGTGTGTCCTCTCCAGGCCTTCCTGCTAAGCCCTTCTCTACAGGAGGCAAAATTGGGCTGTTTTGGTGGCCACAGTAAGACAAACCAGCAAGTGGTCCTTCCACTCATTCGTTATGGTGGTACTCTTCTCTCTGTGCCCTTTGTGTCACTGTCCCTTCCATACATCATGCTTAAGGGCTCCAGCAGCACACTAAAATGTAGTAGAAGATTTCTGTTGTTGAGAAGTACCGTGGCCTCCTGTACTTAAACACAAAGTAGACACGTCTGCGTGAGGGGGATGTTCCACTGAAGGGCCAGCTCAGAAGCTCCGAAATAAGGGACAGTGGAGTCGCCTCTGAAAGGTGTCAAACACCCAGCAGAAATTCGATACGACCTCATATTTATGTCAGGATTTAGGGTGACAGGAAGTTACCACTCTGTAAGTGAAATTTTGGGGAGCTGCAGGGATAACTGTGGCTGGATTCTGGCTGGGCCATCAGAATAACCTGCAGCTCTGTGTGTTCTCTTTTGGAGACGCTGACCTTGGATGCTGCTTCCATGACCTACCCATCACCTGATATTTGCAGTGCAGGTACAGAGTCCATTCAGCAGTTCCTCTGCAAAGGTAAGCAAGAAGAGTCTGAGTAGCTGGGGGACTGTGCTGTGCCCTCAGCAGGCACTGTGGTGTGTTCAAAGATTGCGTTCAGAAAGGGTGAACATCGGGTTGGCTCTGCTTGGGGTAGTTCCTGATGCTCTGTGTGCATGGCAGGCTGGTCACTGAGTTATGTGTCTTTGCTGGCAGACAGAGGAACAGGAGTCCCCCTTTGAGACTTGCTTCTTGCTGTCACACTGAAGTTTATAGTGGATTTGTTAAAACATCAGAAGAGATGAGTCAGATGTTGACTGAGTGACAGTAAGAAGACAGTGCATCTCCCTGTGGTTTTGTTTTCTCATTTGTGTTTTCTCCAGTGGGAGAGTTAGGCATGGTCCAGATACAGCTGCCGTGGGACAAGGAGATAGGACTCGGGAGTCACTCAAGGTCCCTTCTACCCTCATTCTCTGTGAGAAAGGACTTGGGGGTTGCAGACTGATGATTTGCTAAGAGAAAGATGAAACCAGTTGGAAAACTCAGAGGACAGAGATGATTTACTGTGAATTTGTAAACACAGTGTTTAATACAGGCAGGAAGGTTTGGTAGAAGTTTTAGGCAGAGGAAGTGCCTTGCCAGAGGTTGTGCTAATCCCCGAAATAAAAGGACAGTCAGAACTTATTTTAATATGGGCAGTAACATTTGCAGCCCTGCAAAAGTCAACTTGCCCGTCCCCGTGTGAAGGAAGCGTTTCTCTGAGCAGGTAGCTTTACTTGTCTTGCTGGTGGGGATGGGGTGGCCCTTTCTCCTCCACAGCTTCTTGTCGCTAAGCCTGCCTGAGCTGGAGGAGCTCCCTCGGGTGCTCGTCTGTGCATGGGCAGAGGGAGCACAGCTGGGAACAGTCTCACTCAGCAGCCAGCCCTCAGCCGTGCTGCCAAGGAGGTCTTTAAGCACCAAATGTTCTTGTTTTGTGTCTGATACCTTCCAGAGTGTGGAATTGCTTATTACCCTCCCTCGCAGTATCTACTCCCCGTGCTGGAGAGTGATGGAGGAGGAACATCAGTGGATGGGGTGGACAAGGCAGTGCATAAGTACTTGGAGGAGGAGAGCAAGTGGCAGGTGAGGCTCCACTGTGTCTGAAGTTGTGTGAAAGGGGTTTGAATTTCTCTCTTCGCTCCGTCAACGGATCTCACAGCACTTAGCACGTCATCGCTCATCACCTTGCCCCCCATGAGACATGACTTTTGGGATCCAGAGAGCATCAGTGCCCAGAAGCAGGCACAGCACTGTGGGTGTGGGTGGCTCCTCTCCCTGCTGAGAGCTGGGGGTGGTGGTACCACTGCTGGCTCCTGGAGGACACATCGCAAAGGACTGTCTCTGTCCTTGAAAGCCATGATGCAGTCAAGGGACAGGGGTGACAGTGTGACATGGGGTGTGCCTCATGGTAACACACACGGTTTATGGGGGGGCAGCAGGCTGCGGAAGAACCTTGTGATTCCCAGCCAAGTACTAGACATGTTCAGCCCTGCGTGGGAAAGTGAGGCTAGGCATGTAGTTACGATAAGCTGTGCTAATTCCCATGCTGGTGGGCAAGTAGAGTGTGGGTTCCTTTGACTCTGGAGAAGCATGGACGACAGGACTTTGCGGCTGCGTTAATCTTCTTGTGGTTTTGGTGGATGTCTTTACTTAGTTAGGGGAAGATATAATGTGGTCTAATAAAATGTAAAAAAACCTGCTCCTGGGAATAAATGTCTGCTGATAATTGCTTATTTTTCAGAACAGATTCTTGGATTATGAGAAGAGGAAGGTAAGGATGGACGCCTGCAAATGCTATGTCTGCACAATAGCTCCACTTTTTTTTCTTGCTTTCCCTCCCTATATCCAGTTTCTCAGCCAAAACTGGACGTTTTGAGAACTGAGTTCTTGCAGAAACGCCCCCCAGAGCTGCTCGCTCCCCACTGCAGAAGACAAGTGGGAGCTGGGGGAATCTGTGACTGACTCGTCTGACACACACAGCCCATGAGCTGCAGGCTCTCTTGTGAGCGAGCAGTTCCAGTTTAAATCGGTCCGTGTCTGCAGAGTTGGATCCGGGGGCTTTCGCACCAGGTGGCTTTTTTCTTGCCTCTCTGTGCAGAAAGCTCACTTTGTTTTTTGCATGCATTGGGCAGACGTGTGTGAGCAATCCGTGCACAGACTGCGCAGTACATCCCTGCCCCGAACTCCAGCCACTCCGTGAAGCCTACCTTGGCCCATTGGCCCATAGTGCCGC